CTCTTGTCCGTACTTTGGCGACTCTGAAATGCGAAATGAAGTGAAGGAATTTCCGAAAATTTTTGGAAGCCTCACCTAGGAGGCTCTCGAGGAGCTCTGGATTTCGCCGTGGTGGATTCTTTAGGACCACCGGGTAGATCCCGAAAAAATTGTTCCGACCAGAACGGCCCAGATGGGCGCTGCTTAACGCTCCGAGCAGCGCTGTCCTCATCCTCGCTGCTACTGCAGATGTCGACCACCGATTCCTGGCTAGCCGCTGAACTAGGGCCTGGACTCTGGCGCACGAGCTTGGCGTAGCGGGGGGTCTTGGACACGCTCGAGCCACTTCTACCTACTGACACACGAGGCCTCTTCAGAGCTCCTCTCATGGGCGTCGATGTGGCCCGGCGGCCAACCATATATGGCGATGAGGTATACTTTAGGACAGCTCAGACCCGACCCGACCACTAGACAACTCAATAGGGGAGATCGGACATCAACAACACATGCATCGAAATGAGGGGAATTGCCTGCTATTAAGGACCGTTTCATTTGAAATAAAGGAAACATCAGCTGCCCGCTCTCCTGGACCAACTACTGCCAGAGCGGCTCGGTCCTGCTCCCACCCCGATGGGAGCTATTGTGCCGCCTCGGCTTCCTCTCGTCACTCACGACAAATGTCCCCGAGAGGCACTCTTACGGCTCTCGTTACTTACGGGGTTTCTCCAGAGTCGTAAGAACTGCACTGTGCGTTCTAATGGTGTTACGACCGGACATCGCGTTACGCCCCATCACAAAATGCTATTCCCACACTAGTTAGCTGCCGCTCATAATCAGCACTAAATCCTTCTGAGTCTCTTCCTCCAGGAATGTCTGCTATCGACTCTCTCCTCGTCATTCTACTATGTCACCAGAGAAACACAGCCTCTCGACACGAAGCCGTTGTTATCGGTAGTGCTTCGGCCTCCAACACCGTACATACCGGCCTGAGGTTTACTATAGTTTATGACTAACAACGACGATGGGACCGGACTAAGGATCGCATATTAGTCTGGTCCGTCGGACTGATGCGGTCCGGTCCGGCGAGTCCGGTAGTGCGGCGCGTGTGATGCGAAGTATGAGGCGACACGAGAATCTGATGATTCTCGCCTCAGACACAAGCTGAGAAGAATGCCATTGATGATGATATACCGCCAGACGATCTTTCGATGAGTTGAATGGAATGCTATGCATGCTGAACCTCATTGCCGACAGATGG